TGGAATTACTATGTGATCCAGCAATTCCACTTTTATGTATATCCATGGAAAATGAAATTAGTCTGTGAACATTCTGTCAAAGAGACATCTGAACTGCCATATTTGTTGTAGCACTATTCAAAAAACCCAAGAGAAGGAAACAACCTAAATGTTCCATCCACTAATAAATGAATAAAGAAAATGTGATACATAGGCACAAAAGAATACTACTCAGTCACAGAGAAGAATCTTGTTACTTGCAACTATGTGGATGCGACTTGAGATCATTGTTACATAAAATAAGCCAAAAACACAGAAAGACAAGTAGTAGGAGTTCTCACTCCTGTGTAGATTCTACAAAAATGTGATCTGATAGAAGTTAAAAGTATAATGGTCTTACCAGAGGTTGTGGATGGAAAGAAGAATGGGAAAAGTTACTAAGTTATAGTTAGATAGGAGTAAAAAGTTCTTGGGTTCTATTATAACTGTTAATGAAAGAAAAACTTGGAGCAGCTGATGGCACTGCTAGTAAGTTGCCTCTTAGGTCACCCACATCCCATATTGGAGTGCCCGGATGCAGTCCCAGCTCCTCTGCTTTTCATCCAGCTTCCAGCTGATAGGAACCCTGAGAGGTACAAGATGAGGACTTAGTTTTGGGTTCCTGGCTTTGACCTGGCCCAGTCCAGGCTTTTGTGAGAATTTACAGGTAAACTAGTGGATAGAAGATCTCTGTCTCTCTGCCTCTGTATCAAATAAAATGAAATTAATAAATTAAATTTTAGAAACCCTGAAACAGAATTCCGAATGTTTTTACCACATATAAATTTTGAATGTTTAAGGAGATAGATAACACTTACCCTGATAGGACATTACACAATTTATACATGTATTGAAACATTTCATGTATGGCTTTTACATGACTGTTAAAATTTTTTGAAAGAAAAAAATTGCCATTTAAATTTTTGAAAAGGTAACTAACATGAACATTTAGTAGAGTTCTATTTAGTGAAATGCTAGTAATAGAAAGGATCTCTCTGAACTCATTCTGTGTTTTGTTCACATTATGGATTCGGGGTATGAAGTTTTGATCTTACCTTCTGTTTTCCAATTTATTCAGGTCCTAAAGAATTTGTGAGAAATCAAGGTTAATCAATCCAGTAGAGAGCAAAATGACAATCATCTGCAAAGTAAAATTCCTTTTTTACTTCAAAGTTGCCCTTTTCCCCCAGGAACACAATATAATTTCAATGACATCCTCTTTATAAACAGTACAGAAATGAATAGGATTTGGGGAATGGATAGGAATTGATCTTTGGAAAATAAGAGGCTCTCAAGTTGCACATTCTTATGGTAATCTGCACTGAATGAATCCTATTGTTAGACTCTTGCATCTTGCAGCAGAATTTCTGCCTCCTTAACTCAAATATAAGTGAGGATAGAAAGGTATCTTAGCCCTATGGTGCAAGGACAAAGACTGGAAAAAAATGTCAAAAACATCATGAGGTCCTTCATTTTTTCCAAGTCATTCAAGCCTTAAACTTTGCTTTACCCCACAATGCCCTTGCTGCCAGCAGTTGATCCAATCTTGTAATTTCACTACAATCAAGTCTCCCCATTATTTCTTCAATTTCTTTTCTCACCTGCAAACATCTATCACCAGAGATTCTGAGTAGGCAGGCATACAGGCTAAAATTGATAAGGTTTGTGAGCTGGAAGACCACGCCTTCGCCACGCCACTGTGGGACCGCATGTGCCTACCTGGCCACACCTGGGTGCCCACCAGCCAATCAGGTTAATTAACCACACCCTTTTGGAAGTAGGTTAAAAGCCAGGACAAGGTGTGACCTACCCGCTCTTCTTCCCTGGCTTCTTGCCAGGAGGGGGCTGGCTGTAGCCCTGTGCCTCCAGGGCTCGTGGCCTTCGGGCCACCTGCCCTAGGCTTCCTGGCCTAGATGCTCCTCCACTGGCTGGTTCCTTGTGCTCAATAAGAACCCAAATTTACCTCTCTCTCTCAGATAAAGCCCTCACTATCCTATGCACCTTTTGCACATAATAAAAGCCTAAAATGTACGATGCTGCCTCATTTATGGACGCTGGTATTTAGAATTCTCTAAATATTAAGCAAGAACCCTTGCGGGCTTATTAATATCGGGGATGTATTAATAAGCATATGGTAATATCGTTTGGCACCAAGTTCCAGTAGTATATGTGGCACCCCAGATGATGCTTCTGGGGAAATTTAAGGGGCCACATTTTCGTATAGATTTTAGGGGATCATTCCTGATATCAATTCTATTTTCTATCTTATATAAAGGAAGCAGCCAGGTCTTAAGAGTTAGAAAGGTCTGTACAGATCTATTACTTTCTAGCTAAACAAACTTGTGCTGATTATTTAATATTTCAAATACTTGAATTCATTAAAAGGGGAAATAATACTTCCCACCCAGGGTTTTATAAAAATTTGAAATACTGGGCCAGCGCCGCGGCTCAGTAGGCTAATCCTCCGCCTAGTGGCACCAGCACACGGGGTTCTAGTCCCGGTCGGGGCGCCGGATTCTTTCCCGGTTGCCCCTCTTCCAGGCCAGCTCTCTGCTGTGGCCAGGGAGTGCAGTGGAGGATGGCCCAGGTGCTTGGGCCCTGCACCCCATGGAAGACCAGGAAAAGCACCTGGCTCCTGGCTCCTGCCATCGGATCAGTGCGGTGCGCCGGCCGCAGCGCGCCGGCCACGGTGGCCATTGGAGGGTGAACCAACGGCAAAAGGAAGACCTTTCTCTCTGTCTCTCTCTCTCACTGTCCACTCTGCCTGTCAAAAAAATAAAATAAAATAAATAAAATAAATAAAAAAAAATTTGAAATACTTCTCTATAGACAGGTGACCTTTAAGGGTGCTCAGTAGATATGCTGTAGTTTGGCACATCATAGGTATCCAATAAATGGTTATTCTCATTGTATCTCTGAGGAAAATGTCTTTCCTCAGCAAGGCTATCTTCTCCATCAAGTGTCTTCCAATCTTTCCAACTCTTTGCTTGTTAAAAGGTGCTTCCAGGGGACAGCGCTGTGGGGCAGCAGGTAAAGCTACTGCTTGCAGTGCCAGCATCCCATACGGGTGCCGGTTTGAGTCCCAGTTGCTCCATTTCTGATCCAGCTCCCTGATAATGGTCTGGGAAAGCAGTGGAGGATGGCCCAAGTCCTTGGGCCCCTGCACCCATGTGGGAGACCTGGAAGAAGCTCCTGGCCCCTGGCTTTGGATCAGCGCAGCTCTGGCTGTTGTGACCATCTGGGGAGTGACCCAGTGGATGGAAGACTTTCTTTCTCTCTCTCTCTGCCTCTGCCTCTCTGTACCTCTACCTTTCAAATAAATAAATAAATCTTTTTTTTTTTTTTTTATGCTTGCTTTTCTTGTTGTTTTTTTTTTTTTGACAGGCAGATTTAGACAGTGAGAGAGAGAGAGACAGAGAGAAAGGTCTTCCTTTTTCTGTTGGTTCACCACCACCACCACCACCACCACCACCACCACCCCCCCCCGGTGGCCACTGCTGAAGCCAGAAGCCAGGTGTTTCTCATGGTCTCCCATGCGAGTGCAGGTCCCAAGGACCTGGGCCAGCCTCCACTGCCTTCCCAGGCCACAGCAGAGAGCTGGCCTGGAAGAGGGGCAACCGGGACAGAATCCAGCGCCCTGACCAGCACTAGAACCCGGGGTGCCGGCGCCGCAAGTGGAGGATTAGCCTAGTGAGCCGCAGTGCCGGCCCCAGATATACATTTTCAAGACAGATGTTCTCTGTCATGTAGCCACCACCACAATAAAAAATAAATTATATCACCCCCACAATTCTGTACCTTCCTCTCATTCCCAACTTTTGATAATCACTGATTTGCTGTATTTGAGTTATTTCAAGCCTTTGGCAATTACAAATAAATCAAGGCCGACTTTTTAAAAATCTTGTTCAAATTTATTTTTCTTTTTTAAAAAAACTTAATTATTTATTTTTATTTAAAAGGCATGGTGACAGAAAGAGAGGCACTTTCCATGTGTTGGTTCATACACCAAATGCCTGCAACACCAAATGGCTCTGCCAGACCAAAGTCAGGAGCCCAGAACTCTATCCAAGTCTCTCATATGAGTGGCAGGGACTCAGTACATGAAACATCATCTTACTTCCTTCCAGGTACATTAGCTGGAATCTGGATTGGAAGCAGCGGCGGAGGCAATATTCGATCCCAGGTGTTCCAATTTGGGATGCCAGTGTCCCAAGGGGCCACTTAACCCCATTGTACCTTTATAACTGTCCCTCAAATTATTTCTTAATTTTATATATATTTGAGGGTGGAAATCAGTTACCTCTTCCATCCCCAGAAATTTATAAGTTCAGATTCACTCTACTAAATTTCCAAGTGGCAATTTCAATCTGAACTGGCCTTCTTATAGTATTTTGTCAGACTCAGGGTATGACAATCAAAGCATTCTGTTTTCCAATATTTTCCCCTTAGTATAAAAATTTGTTAGATACATAATCAGCCATCCACATCATTGAGATCAACAATTTTATAAAAATGGTTGCAGTCCTAGATCATGAGAAAAATTACAATTTCCAAGAACAATTTTCTTTCCTCCTGCTTCCCAGTCTATGCCAATGCAAGAAATTTGTTTTTTTCTTACAGTACTTCCAAAATTCTAGATACCAATTTTTGCTTTAATCAGGTGAGCTGTGAGGCAAAATCTATTGGCTACCACAATGGAAATTATTTTTTCCTTGTGCAGCCTGTCTAATGCAGGTAGGTAGGGAGCATTCTGCTCATTGTGCCATATAAAGATTCAGTGTGGAATAGATGCTATCTCAACAGGCACTTTCATTACCACTGCAACACGAATAAAGAAAAGGACAAATTGCCCATCAAATACCTGGAGCAGAAACATTTTACTTCTATCCATATGGTATACCTGACACTTAATGCTCACACCAGTTTGGCCAAAACTAGATGTCCTAAGGCCACACCTAAGTTGCTTCCTATATCTGTACCTTATTGCTGCTTAGCCTTTTGTCTAAGATCAAGTGTAGTATCTGCTTTTATCAGTTTAATCTCTGTACCAAATTCTTAACTATTATAGCTATATACAAGAGTTGACAATGGTGTGGCAGGTCCTTCTTCACTGACCTTCTATTTCCATAGTTTTCTGAGCTATTCCACTGATTTTTATAAGACATTTTATCCATCCTAAATACACAAATAAGATATGAATAAAAATAACTGTAATAACAACATGCATTTTTTAAAGATTTATTTATTTATTTATTTGAAAATCAGAGCTACATAGACAGAAAAGAGACACACAGAGAGATCTTCCATTTGCTGGATCGCTCTCCAGATGCCACAGTGGCTAGGGCTGAGCTAGGTGAAGTCAGTCACCAGCAGTTTCATCCAGGCCCTCTGGCAGGGACCCAAGCACTTGGACCATCTTCTGATTTTCCCAGACTATCATCAGGGAGCTGGATCAGAAGTGGAGCAGCCAAGACATGAGCCATTACCCATATGGTATGCCAGCATTGCAGGCAGTGGCTTTACCTGCTATGCCACAATGCTAGACCTTACAGGCACTTTTGAATATTTTCCAATATATTTGTGTCTTTGTCTATGCAAGCTACTATAACTAGATGCTATCAACTCTGTGGCTTATGCATGAGAGAAATTCATATATAACAGGGAGTGGGAAGTCAGAGTTAAGGTATCAGATCTAGCATCTCATGAGAACCCACTTGCTGAATTTTAAGTGGAAAGCTGTCTTACTCACTGTGTCCTCACATAGTAAAAGAGGTGAGGGATCTCTCTCAGGTTTGTTTCATAAGAGCACTCGTTCTATTTATGAGGCTTCTTTCTTCATGATCTGATCACCTCCAAAAGACTCCCTTATTAACACCAATATTTTAGGGGTTAGAATTGCAACATTTGGCCAGCGCCGCGGCTCACTAGGCTAATCCTCCGCCTTGCGGTGCTGGCACCCTGGGTTCTAGTCCTGGTCGGGGCACTGGATTCTGTCCTGATTGCCCCACTTACACGCCAGCTCTCTGCTGTGGCCCAGGAGTGCAGTGGAGGATGGCCCAAGTGCTTGGGCCCTGCACCCCATGGGAGACCAGGAGAAGCACCTGGCTCCTGGCTTCAGATCAGCGCAGTGCGCCGGCCGCAGCGCGCCAGCTACGGCAGCCATTGGAGGGTGAACCAACGGCAAAGGAAGACCTTTCTCTCTGTCTCTCTCTCTCACTGTCCACTCTGCCTGTCAAAAATTTAAAAAAATAAATAAATAAAAATAAAAAATAAAAGAATTGCAACATTTGAATTTTAGATGGACATAAAAATTACCTGTTGGATTGTATTCTTTAGCATACCTATGACCATATCATAAATATTGTTCTGCTACTTTTTTATTTCTATTTTAATTTTGTTTTGGCAGTAAGCATGATTTCAAAACAGTGAAATGTTTTAATATCTGTTCATACCTCAGCATGTGCTTTTTCTTAGAGCATGTTCTATATACTCTTTAAAGGAGTACATATTCTGCAGTTGTTCAATACTGTGTTTTGTAAATGTTAGTTACATTGAGAGGATTCATAGTTTTTTTAAATTGTCTTTGATGATTTGTACTTCTATATTGTCTACTTGTTCCATCAATTACTGAGAAAAGTATTAGAATCTCCAACTTTGGGGATTTATTTATTTCATCATTTCTTTTCCTCCATTTTTGCTTCATGTATTTTAAGCATTGTTATGAGGTGTACTTGCTTTAGGATTCTTTTGTCTTCTTAATGAATTGACCCTTTTGTGATTATGAAATGACCCTCTTTAGGTCTAATGATCCTCCTTATCCTGAAATCAATTTTGTCTGACATTGATATGCCACTCCAGTTTTCAATGGCTTAGTGTTTGTATGGTGTGTCTTTTTCCATCCTTTTATGTTCTATTTCTCTTCATCATTGTATTTGTAGTGGAACTCTTGTAGGTAACAAATAGTTTGCCTTTATATCCAGTCTGATATGATTATATTAAGTATAATATATAACATGTAAATAGCACAATTATACTGCTATTTGTTCTGTTTTCTTTTATCTCTTCTTTTGGATTAATAAATATTTCATTATCCCATCTCATCTCCTCTATTGCCTGTTTAACTCTTTCAGTTTGGTGGTTTTCTTTGTAGTGTTTCTACTACAGGTTACAATACCCATTCTTATTAAATCTTAGTCTTTAATTAAATTATGCCCACTACAGGCATAATGTAAGAAACTGTGGTAAAATTCAGTTTTCACTACTCCTATCCTTTGCAATGTTGTACTACAATACTTCTACACATTATAAACCTCAAAAACATATTGTTTCCACTTTAGTGTTGTTTTTAATTTTTTAAAAATTTATTTGAAAGGTAGAGTTAGGAGGAGAGACAGAGAGAAAAATCTTCCATCCACTGTTTCACTCACCCAATGGCCATAACAGCCAGGCCATTTTCCTCTGCTTTCCCAGGCCATTAGCAGGAAGCTGGATGGGAAGTGGAACAGCTGGGTCTCAAACCAGCATCCTTAAGGGATACCAGCATCACAGGCAGAGGCTTACCCTGTTATGCCACAACACTAGCCCCATCTACTTTCGTTTTAAATATTCTATGACTTAGAGAATTTATGAAGATTAGTAAAAGATGATATTTATATTGATTGTATACTTATTATGTCTAGTATTCTTCATTCCTTCCTGTATATCTGAATTTCCACCTAACATCAATTTCCTAAAGTTAAAAACATTTCTTTAGCATTTCTTTTTTTTTTTTTGGAAAATTGTGTTAGTAACAAATTCTTTCAGCTTCTATTTTCCTGAAGATATATTAGTTTATTTTTATTTTCAAAATATGTTTTATTATACCATTAGATTTCTCAGTGAGACTTCCACTGATATCCCAGAGCGAGAAAGAAAGTTCGGAATTGCCCCTTGCTGTCAACTAAGGAAGTGCAAATATTGGGGCAGGTATTTGGTCTACCCATTAAGAAGCTGATTAGGATATCCAAGTCCCACATTAAAGTACCAGAGTTGTTGCTCCTGACTCCCTTTTCCTGCTATTGCATACCTTGGAGATAGCATTGATGACTCAAGTAATTGAGTTCCTGACACCCAATGGGGGAGACCCAGCTTCCAGTTTGAGCCTAGCACTGTCCATGGCCAGTGCCAGTTTTGAGGAGTGAACCAGCAGATGACAACTCTCTCTCTCTCTGTGTCTACCTCTCTTGTCTCTGTCTCTTCCTCTCAAATAAACAGCTAATAATTTTTAAAAATAGAAAAACCATAGAAAACAACTGTATTCGGATGGTAGACAATAAGCAGCATTAGAGAAAAGAGAAAGAAAAAGAGCAAATAAGGAAGTCTTATCTTAGTCTTGACTTTCACTGGGAAGATATTTCCAGATTTTGGCACAAAAAAAGTCACACACAACAAGAATCCAATTGTCTCACCGAATTGAGGAGACACGGGTTGGAGATCAATGCAGTCAGAATTTTCTTGAAGTCAGAGCAGCAGCCACACAGAAACTGAGTTTTTTGTTTCTTTTCTTTTCTTTTTTTAAGATTTATTTATTTATTTGAAAGGCAGAGTTATAGAGAGGCAGAGGCAGAGAAAGAGAGAGAGAGAGATCTTCCTTCCCCTGGCTACAAAGGTTGGAGCTGTGCCGATCCAAAGCCAGGAGCCAGGAGCTTCTTCCAGGTCTCCCATGTGGATGCAGGGGCCCAAGGACTCGGGCCATCTTCCACTGCTTCGCCAGGCCATAGCAGAGAACTGGATTGGAAGTGGAACAGCCAGGAGTTCAATAGGCACCCATATGGGATGTCACCATTGCAGCCAGTCCCTGAAACTGAGTTTTCACAATCTAATGGGGTTCCTCTCTTCTAAGATTCAAGTCCTTCCAGTTTCTGTCTGATTTTGATTGCTTTTAAACATTCATGTTTGTAATGTTTTCCTAGAATTTATTATTGTTATCAGCACAAAAATGAGTCTGATATTTCTTTATTAATATAAGCCAGAATTCCTATGACTTTTCTCCTACAATACATCCTAGAGATAATTTACATCACTGGCACATGTCACAACTCATTTTCTTCACTGTCCACATAACATGCCATGACACACTTTAACCATTTTTCAAAGAAAGACATTTATAGGGTTTTACTATTAGAAATAATGCTATGATAAATGATTGTATCAATGTATCTTTTTTTTACTTTTTCTAAAAGTTTTAAACATTAGAATTACAAACAGAATTGCTGTGTTAAAGGGTTTAAATATCGGGGCCGGTGCCATGGCTCACCTAGCTAATCCTCCACCTGCGGCGCCAGCATCCCCTATGGGCACCGGGTTCTATTCCCAGTTGCTCCTCTTCCAGTCCAGCTCTCTGCTGTGGCCCAGGAGGACAGTGGAGGATGGCCCAAGTGGTTGGGCACCTGCACCTGTGTGGGAGACCAGAAGAAAGCACCTGGCTCCTGACTTCAGATGGGCACAGCGCTGGCTGTAGCGGCCATTTGGGGGTGAACCAACGGAAGGAAGACCTTTCTCTCTGTCTCTCTCTCTCTCATTGTCTAACTCTATCTGTCAAATAAATAAATAAAAAAGGGTATAAATATTAAACATTTTATAGATGTTTTCAAATAGCCTTTATCAAATTAAACTTTATAATACATATTTTTCTGTTTCATTGACTCCTCAAGAATTTCTTGTCAAAGTCCATTTTCACATATTAGGAATTAATTCATAATGTTATTTTACTTATGTATTTATTTTACATTTATCTTCTTTATTTTATAATTTTTCTTGTCAGTGGTGGTGTTGATTGGCTTTAGCATCAATAAATTTATAATTTCAGCATGAATTGAAAAACACTAAGAAAAAATTGAAAAGCACAAAAGAAAAAAATTTAAGTGAAAGAAATAAATATTCTTTTTATTTTATCTTAGGACATTTTCCTCCAAACATTTTTCATATGCACAACTTTTTTTAAAAAAAGATTTATTTATTTATTTGAAAGTCAGAGTTAAATAGAGAGAGAAGGAGAGGCAGAGAGGGAGAGAGAAAGAGATCTTTCATCCGTTGGTTCACTCCCCAATTGGCCTCAAAGGCCGGAGCTGTGCTGATTCGAAGCCAGGAGCCAGGAGCTTCTTCCAGGTCTCCCACACAAGTGCAGGGGCCC